TTAAAGATTTTACAAAAAATTATATTTTTCTATGATTTTTTTCAGAGTAAGCGCATCGATTTTTCATTTTACTTAAACTTCTTACATCTGGTTGTAATCAACTTTGCCATTCTGAACAAAGTATAAACGCAGCTAAAAGTTGGATTCAACACTTTCTTGTTTCAGCTTACCGCATGAGAAATATTATGCTTTCAAATGCAAAATTTATAATTTATTTTTGTTGTGTATATGTATATGCTTAAATTAGGCGTCGCTGAAGGTATCACCAATTTATTGATAAACGGCGAAGCTAAAACTGTTCAAGCAATCCTTGAAAAATAAAAAAATTCAACAACAAAAATGGCTGGGATCACTTTAGCTTTAACGTAAGCTTTAATACGCAGTACTAAACGGATATTGGATGAGTATATGAACTTAGTAAGAATGTGTGCAACAGCCGCCCCATAGAGTATATATTTATACATGTATTTACATATGTACATATTTCCATACATTTATTGTTGTTCAGTATCAATAGCCGAATCGATCCCGTCCAAAACCTCTGTTGCACTAGGGAAGATTTCGACAAACAATTTAAATTACGTTACAAATTTCCAATTTTAAATTTTTGCTTTCAAGAAACTGTTTGGTCTAGTTAAGATTATATATTATCGATGGGAAATTGCCATGTTCAGTTATTGACAGTAGATGTAACTCCCAGTTTTCACACCTGGCTACATCCCTACTAACGTCACAACATGCCCGAAAAATCTTTATTAGTTCCCTCCCAGCCCTTTTGCTAGCTGAGAATCTTTGTCACTTAGACGTAACTCGTTTGGTTGCCTCACCCCATAGATATGGACACATAATAATCATTCGCCGTTTCATCTGCGAAACAAATGCGCCTGCGAGTAGCTGAGAAGCCCATCCCCAGCCCCATCCCTATCCCCATCCCACCCATCAATTCGAATTCTCACCGACATCTCTTCTTCGGCTCTACCTACACCCGAACTTGAAAAGTTATTACTGCACCCAGGCGGAAAATTGCTTCTTTCTCCGCGTGCGAATTGTTTTTACGCGTTGTTTCAAAGGCGGCCGCGTGGTACACACCTACAGCTCCGCTTCCGGCTTTGGGTTCCACACTGTGCCGGGTGCTGTCCTTCCCTGTGGTAGCTGATTGCCGCTAATGAACGTCAAATTGAAAAGGCAGCGATGGGCGCGGCTTAACCCCAAAAGCAGAGCTCAAATGGACAGGGACACGTGAAACGTTTATATGTGTGTATATGTAAGTGCATTCAGGGATGTATGTACGAGCACGTGTGCATAACGCACATTACTGTTACTGAAAATGTATGTTTTTGAAGCCCTGTCTGTGAATCGAGTTTCAGTATTTAGTCCTGTTGACCGTCTGCCGTTGCTGGCTGCTTTTAAATCCACATGCGATGCGCCATATCCGCCGGCGATTCACCTCTGAGCTACGACCTTTATAGTTGTGCCAATCAGAACGATGAACTGCAGCACTGACAGCAACGGAGGTAGTTAGTAGACATACGGATCCTGGACTGGGACTGGGACTGCGACTGGGACTGGCTACGCTCCCCGCCCTGATGGAAAACTTTGGCTGGGCATTTCCCAGAAATGTGTTTCTTCCACGCCTAACCGGAATATTAGAGCTGCCTGTCAGCGTGTGGCGCTTACATGCCTGCAACTTTTTGCGTCCCGTCCCGATGCCACCGACAGGAAGTGTCAAACAGGCCTCACTCACTTAGTCTCACTGCCTCGGGCACTCCCACTCTACTGTGGCAGGTACAAACTTTTTCGAAATTTGTTGGCGCAAAGCAAACTGGAGACAATGGCGAGGAAGAGTGTGCAGACGGGACGCTGCCTGTCATCGGGAATTTTGCTGACATGATGATTGGTGATCGCGGGGAAAACAAAGAAACGCAAACATTTTTCCAGAGGGCCTGCGGAAAAGCAAGCAAGCAAAAGAAACCAACCAACCAACCCTTTTCAGCGGTCCGACTGGAAGACGAAAATCACCAAGAGTCGAGATTTGTATTGTAAGTAGGTCGCTATGCAGACCAGAAAGATACGTACACATGCATATGTAAGTAAATTCTTGAAGAAGGAAATTATTACTAGTGTATTTCCCAGCTGAGCACGGATCACTGTGCGCTGAGCGCGTAGGGCGACATTGACATTATGTATTGTCAAGTCAAAGACCTCAAAATTTGTTAATGCCTCGTGTGCATGCATTCCCCTCTCGTGGCGTGTTATGTTGAGGTCTGTCGGGTCGGAGCAGATTAGATGTTCGGCGATGATTCATTGAAAATGGCCTGTCAAAATGCCAACTAATTGCAGATGGAGGGGCGGTATTTGTTTATTTTTACACTGATGAGTTTTTCATTTGAAACTAATACATTAGTGTAGCATGGAAACGCCAATACAATTTCCCAGAATAGCTTTCGGGAAAAGAGGGTGGGCTTAAAAAAGTTCCAAACTTAAATCCAGCTGCTTCACTAAGATCTTCAACAGGTGCTTTTGGAGTAGGGCCGACTGCATGGGCTGTGCACATACCATGCGGTATTCCAAAAGACCCATAACACAGCACAATCCCAACAGATGTATTACCAAGCGATTGAAAAACACAGTGGAATTTAGAAATTCACCATTAAACTCTGAATATCTTGCTAAAGAATATTAGTATCTCCTTTCCAATCTGCTTCTTGTAGCGACAAGAATGTCACCAAAGGATAACCAAATCATTTTATATTTTATATTACACAAAAATTACTTAAAAAACAGAAAATTATGCTTCGGTTTGCGCTTTTATATCGTGAAAGGGCTTGCAGTAAATAAGATTGTTTTTTGCCCCAAATATTGGCGACCGTTTCAGACGATACAATGATATTATACAATTAGTATTAGTTAAATGTGTGGCAGTCAGGTCGCTGTGCCAGCTCGAGAAAACGAAAAAGAGAATCGAATTTGAATTGCTATGTGCGGGTGTGTTCTGTTCTCAGTATGAATGCTTCCCGAATGGCCAGGAGTCTTTCTGTCAATCGCCGAGTTGAGAATTTGGGGGCGCCGGCATCTCCATTGTGTCTGCTTTTATTAACGCACATAACTTTTTAATACAGGCAGGCTCATCTCGCGTCAAAAAAAAATAAAATATACATTTTTCACTCGATATTCCGACCATAAAATAGATTTTTAATTTGCTGCGGCTGAAGAGCGAAATAGTAAAAAAAAAAGGAACAACATCAATTTTACAAATGCTCAATCTATATATAAGATATATTCTAGTGATCAGAATCTCCGTTCCAATATTTCTATTATCCCACAAAATGCTACTCCTACTTATTTTGACTCCTACATTTCCGTATTTCAGATGAAGTACGTTGCATATTGGTACACCAGTACAGTATGCCCATCTACCCTGTGAATATTGTGGGTCATTGCGGGTTGACAAAAAGTGGGTACACTCATCATCGTATGGTAATACATGTATAGTATACATACAAATATCTAAGGAAACATGTTTATTCATAGCCTTGGCGCGGGTTCATGATTTCCACTTCCAGTTCGCCCCGGAAGCCCCATCCCCCATCCCATCCCGTGTGCGTATGTAATGCACGCACTTATGCTAACTCCTCAGCTTCAAAAATGCTTGCCTGCTTTCTGTCTGTATGTATGTATGCTTGTATGTGTGGTTCAGCATGTTGTGTAAAAGGTGAGTGTCGTCTTCAGTCCGCTATTGACTTCAGCATACATATAAACATACTGCATTCATACATATGTACATATGTATATGTATTTACATGTGTACATTCAAATGGTGGTTTTATCTAATGCCGCCGCACACAGCAATCACGAGCGCGTTTTTTGGGGAAACGCTAACGTTGTGAGTGTCACGATTATTTTTATTAAATTTGATCCCCTCAATCGCTCCAGCTCACACGTCCAACCACTCACTGAAATACTCGCATACACAAATAAATATGTACAATATGTATGTACTCTGTACATACTTACAAAGAGAGTATACTACATGGCTGCATCATGTCCGAAGAATCGCCTAATTTTAATTTAAAGGAGGACTCTTCCTGCGAAAATATTACTGAACTAAAGTGGTTACTGGCTTACGTTAAGCCACTCTGCTATTCTCATTACTAGCACTAACAGTTAAGGTATATAACTCAAACCGAACCAATTAATAAAGCGGACTGGCAAAGGCAGAGTGTAAAATCGAACTTCGGGAAGATGAAATGGAAGACAGTGATGGAAACGGAAACCTCTTCAGTACGACAAGGACATACAGTAAGGCTGAACATTTTCCATTTTTATTTACCAACTTGCGTGTGTCAATAACATTCTATACAGATGGGATGCCAAATGCCTTGTGCGCTCGTGCCAAAGCAGGTCTCCAGCCTGAACCGATAGAACCGATAGAACTGATAGAACCGATGGATGCTCTTTGGATGCCTGAAAGAATATCCTTGTGTCAGCTAAATTCCTATGCAAGCGAACGAGTTGTAATTACTAGATTGCTGTTTAATTGATTTTTTGTGTGCATTTTAGGGCAGGCCATCTCTTAACTCAGCCTCTAAGGGTAGATGGTTTGAATGAGTATGGGATATTCTAAAACCCATACAGCTCTGTGTCGATGCTTCACGTCGAGCAGGTAGACCAGCCGTAATGTCCTATTCTGCTACTGCGTAGGAAAAGAGCGAACGGTAATTTGGAAAGTCAACATTTCGCATTTTCATCGATTTGGCAGAAAATGCAAATGGGGAACCATCTTAATGAACTCCTCCCTCTAGCGACGAAGGAATCAGCGGCGGAGAAAATGTCAAATAACAACTCGAATAAATAAAAGATAAGAGCCATGAAGCCAACAGTCAAACAAAGGCAGGGGCATTGGCACCGAAGGAACGAGAAGAGCATTTACGCTGGGCTTCGTCAAGGCAGAGGGCAATATGGAACGAGCTGTAAATAAGAAGAGCGATATAGCCACTTACCCAACTTCTCGCCACAGAGCACGGAGCTGGGTGACTGTGTCCACACCAAGGCTAACGCAAGAACTGCCGCTCCAAGATGCACGGGACGGGAGCTGGAGCGAGAGCGCTGTCGCCTCCAGCTCTGGCGCGGCTCCATCGCAAAGCTGCCGCCGAGGGACACAGAAGTGGCCAGCGAGAGCGAGGTGGCTCTATATCCTCTAGTCAGGCAAAGGATTCCTCTATTACTCGCACTCGCACAGTGATTTTTCCGTTTATTCACGATTCGTTGTGGTTTACGCAGTCGCCGCTTTCATTGGCAATTAGACGTGGGATGAGGCTTCTGCTCGAATGAGCTCTGCTCTTGGAATTGTCGTCCTCTTCGGCAGTGTTTTCCTCACGCTTCGCTACCCAATATCAGCCAACAATTGCGGTGAGGAATATAAAGATTTTACTTTAGCAAGGAGCCCAAATAAGCGTGTCATACGGTGACACGTTGCGGTCGTCTCAGGAAGCTACAACTTGGCCCCACAGCTATTCCCACGCCTACTGAGTAATTGTGGTTCAAATACTACGAAAGGAATTCTCCTCTCCAGTTTGCACTTTGCACAAATTCCTTTTCTCAAATTAAGGGGAATTGGGGATACATGCTGCTTCTGTTAGGCTCTTTACGAGTCGTTGAACATTCTTTTCGTTTCTGCTTTACAGATCAAACTTTCATTCGCTTGTTAAGTAAAAATGTCCGGATGTACCTAGAATACAAGTAAAAAATATATTAATTGAGTGCTTTTGCATGCCATCTGAATATCAATTGGCAACCATGTCTTTAGTGTTGTGTGTTGGCTAACAACAAAACACAACCAATACTACTTTGTAATAATTTTTAGAATCTCACACGATACATCCTCGTACAAAATCAGAGCAGCGTTAAAAAAAGGTGCTCTGATATAAAGTGTCAGAGTTTTAGTTTTCATAATAATTGCAAAAAACATGCGGTCGCGAACGTACGAAAAGCAGAAGTCGACTTTGGCTTAATCTAGTCAAATGCAAAAATCTGCGAATCGGAACAGAATATTTTAAAGCGATAAATTTATTTTTAAGAGGATTACCGTAGATTTCTAAAAAGTATATTTACATAAAATTATCCTTAGTTTTTTTTTTTTTAATTGAATAATTTACCGGTCGCGAACGTTCCTCCTCACGTTTTCCCATGAATCACTTCATATTTACTTAAAAACAACGTATTACTCAATTTTATGTGTGTAATAACATTTATAACAAGAATAGAAAATCTTCATTCTCTCTGCTTTTTCGGGCAATTCTTTTGACTTCCGTGCATCGCTTTGTTAGTTTGATTCAGATTCGACAATCTGGTAGATGGGCCTGTAACAGACTTTCGTCCTTTGTCTGGTCGGAAGGGAGCGGGGCGAAAGTGTGATATCACATGAGTCTGAAAACAAAATATGGTTGCTCCAGCTTTATAGTCTCTGAGATCCAGGCGTCAAACAAGACGGACGGACGGACAGACTGACAGACAGACATGGCTCTATCGACTCGGCTATTGATGCTGATCAAGAATATATATACTTTATGGGGTCGGAAACGTTTCCTTCTCTGCGTTACACACATCCACTTTTACCACGAATCTTATATACCCCTTAACACTTTTTGAGTACGGGTATAAAAACAATTACGGTTGCAAACATACGCTACTTTGAAAATCAAAATTAAAATTAAAATTAATCGTAACCCAAAAGTTTTTTATAATTAAATTAGTTACACCAAACTTACTTAGCACATGTAGTTTCAGCAACCGTATTGCATTCAATGCGAAGCAATTACAATAAAATCATGTTTTCGGTCGCGAACTGAAAACTGAAACTTTTAGTTAACTGTTAATAGAACTTTTTTTCGGTCTCTTTGTATTTTTCTCTTCAGAGTGCAGAGTGCAAACATAGGTTAGGTTAGGTTGCGGCGGCTGTCGGGATCGTCAGGAACCCGACATACTTAGGCCGGTCTCGGCCCGTTGTGATATGCAAACATAACAAATATAACATATTTTTCATGTGAAATAATTAAAAATAAAAATGCCTTTAAAAGTAGCTAGTGGGGAAATCACATTTTTTTATTTTCAGACAAATTTCCCCTTGAAAACAAATGAGATATGCTTTGGAACCATTGTATTATGCAAATTTTGACATTTCTGTTATAAGTATGCACAAAAAATACGATGATTATGAACATTTTATTTTTCGGTCCTATGGTCCTGGGCAGCTGACTGAGTACGGGTATAAAAGTAGAGTCAGCGAATCACACGTTTCTACTCGTTTTAATTAAAAAAAATGTTTTCAATGAGTTCTTCAGATTTAAGCTTGCGTTTCATATGGTCATGTTAAAAGAAATTTAAAATTTAAATTATAAAACAAGTTTTATTTCTATAGACCAAAAAATTAATGAAATTAAGTAGCCCCATATTCAAAAAAAATTGCAATAATCGAACGTACTGGTTTTATATAGATATCAATTAAAATATGAACTGACATTGCATAACCAAAAACAGATGTGGTTTTTAAGCTTGTTTTAATAAATTGCAAAACTCTGAAAATCGGGTAGGACTGTCTGTATAACATTTTGTGTACTAATATATTATATATTGAGAGTAAATCTTTTTCTGTTTATATGTATTAAGTCCGTGGGGGCAACTTACATACATATGTACGTTACTGGCGTTACGATACGAATTTTATTTTCTTTATTTTATGTTCTTTGGTGAACAAATATGATCAAAAATAGTCTTTCATATGGTAAATAAAAATAAAAGAAAACATGACCATAAAAATAATAAAAAATTCAACTTTAGCTCATAATAAACAAGTAGATCGTCAAAGAACTATTTCAAATGAGCTTTTACTAATTTCTTATGGTTTGTGTTGGTGTAGGAAAAAATATATATATATCTATACATATACACATAATGTAACTTGTGTATTCTACACCAAGTGTTGAACTTTACGATTTTGAAAAGCTAATGAGTGCAACTATCAATCGTTTAAAACGGTTAAAGCTAATATTATTTTGTAAAACGGATAGGCTGCAGCTACTTGAACAAACTTCCCAAATGCATATACTTCCGTTCAGTACGTTGAAAATACAAAATAAGTATAAACAAAACGGTTCTTTTACAAGGAAAGAAAAATATACTGTGGCAGAGGAACGGATGTTGCAAGAATTTAATTTTTCTTCGACTATTCATTTGATTTTAAGGTGATTTTTTCGATACAAAACATTACGCAGGGCATAATTATTATTGCATTTGTAAGTCTAACATTCCTCAGAAGGTAAGCTTCAGCTAAAAAGTCTTAAAAACCTATTAATAGTTGCATTCATAAGCTTTGCTGATTAATGTTTTCAAAAACAAAACGAAGGAAAATATGTTCCTGTTTATTGATCATATGAAAGCTTATCTAGTGGGTTCCGAATCATTTTCAGCAAAAAGTTTGGTCTTTGCTTAAAGTCAACCGGATAGCTTTAAAACTGACGGATATTATGGATGTAACGAAAAAATAGTATATACATACATATATGTATGTACATATGTATGCATGTACCGTATATGTCAGATACTTTTCGTTCTCTGCGTTAAGGGATTATACAAATAAAATGTTTGACTTGTTGCCGCAACATACTACGAGTAAATATGAACAGCAGGGAGTTTATAAGGATATGTGGTTTAAATAATCAAAAAAAGGATCGTTGAGATTAAAAAATGGCATCTCTAATTATCTTTTTGGGTGCAGGTAACATTCAGTCAGACGTAAAGACGGGCATGCGAAAAACTACTTGTCTATTAGGGTTGATGGAACACACAACTTCACCCACATACATACATGTATGTACTTTTTGGGGACAAACCATCCTTACGGAACGAATCCCTACCAGATATCATGGCGTCTTTTGGAGGTGCAGAAACCGAGTGCTACAATAGATCAACAGATTGCAGATCAATCATTTCATGCTCCCGTTGCTCCGAGATTTATTTTTCGGCAACGGGTGACAACGCTTTTCGGACCCGAGCAAGCAAAAACATAATACATGCAATGCATGAAGAGGAAGTGTCTTATTGTTGTTGGACTGCTACCAAAAGCAAAAAGGGGAGCCCAAACCTGATTTACATACAAGTATATGTATTTTTCATACAGTAATTTCAATATTATTTCATACTATGTTACAAAAACTGACCATAAATGACCCATTTCAGCAGGGAGTGTAATAACACTATCCTACAGAAATAATCTTTTATATATCTGCTGAATAATAAAAGTATTAGCCTCGGATACAATTCAATACCATGGCTAATAAGTTGCTTCTAATATTATAAGTAAACATCCTATGCGCTGTAGCCAAGGGACTGCTTTTGTTGAATTCCAATTATTTTAATAGTTTCAACTAACTCACTTCGCTTTGGTCCAAAAATAAATCTAACTTGGGGGTAGCAGCAACAAACTTAATTAATCTTCTAATATCAAATAATATCCAATACGTATATCAATGAATTTCAGTAAGTAAGAAAGGTCCGGATGACATTATCTCCAATTCAATTATACAAATGCATTTATAATAATTTAAAATACAAGCAAAAAGTTTGAGTTTTTATTACCATTCAAAGTTCGTTTGTTAGTATAATCCAAAGGAGGGGAAACGATTATCCGCAATGCCCAGATTTTGCTACTCGCAATCAATTTATTTTAATTGAATTTATTCCAAAGAAAACACTGTGCTCATTTTCCCTTACTTCACTGTCAAACTGTCGCTTTTAAGGGCCAAAATTCACAAATCCAACATCCAAACCCGTCACCGTCACGGCATTTTCCATCACTTTAGAGGATTTACAGATTCGCTGTGCACTGGGTATACGATTCTGTTTGAATATTGCTAAACAAGTCGACGCAAAAATTTTACACAGACACGAGCACGTCTGCTTGTCTTGACTCACTTTTCTTTTCGCTCAGAACAATGTCGCCTTATCCTTTTTCACTGGCCATTCCAGCCAAGTGGCTTGGTTGGCACGATTTAAGGGTAGAGTTGCCCCCAAATACAAATAGTCGACACAAAAGTGCTGAATCGTCGCCAAGCAATGTAGCCGCGACACAAATTTAGTTCGATGCTTGTTTTTGAGGAAAGTTATTCCATAAGCAATTTTCACATTTTCATCTGCATGTAGCTTTGTTGATAAGCTTCGTTGATAACTAGGGTGGGTGTCGGGGGAAATTCGGATTTGATAAACATTCTTTTTCCACAGGCTGTTATTTTATTCTGTTTTATTAATTACACATGGGAGATTATTACACTTTTAAATCGCCCTGAGTAGAATACTTTTCCACTTTCACTAGGTGGCCATTTACACTGGAGTCGTTTGTCGAATCCTGATAATGTGAATTTGCCTTAATTGGAGCAAATTAATCGCGTTGTAATGTTCACCAGGGTGGGCACGACCCGCTGATGACAATCGCCCGTCTATAGGTAAGTTTAATTTAGAGCCGACTACAATTAATCGCACCCATGAACGGAACCATGGGTACGTTCTCGGTTCGGTGTCGTTCTCTCCGCTTGTAACTTTGATTTCTCGACAATATTACGGATTCGGTTGACTATGGTGTACGGCTCTTTAGGATTGCAATTGATTGCGGTCTGCTCTGGCTGCGGGGCCGTACGATGCTGGACTAACTAACTAATCGCAGAGTCTAGGCATTGAGTCAGGCTACGCACGTCGAAAGTACCCGAAGGGATGTCGGACCCGAAGGGATGGATGCTGGAGAGAGAGATGCTGTGTCGGAGTTGAAGCTTTTAAGAGAAACACAAAGCTACCGTTAGGGCTTTTTCTGCACAATTATTGTCGTAGTGTCGCACTGCTCTAACGGGATTCATTGAAATCAGCGAGGATTAGAGCGGTGCGACCCTATGTCCAAAGCGAGAGCGCGCTCTTTTGAAAACGCTTTCTGCAAACCGTTGCTTTTGTTTGAATTACGCATGGGTTATATTCGATTCAGGACTGCTACTCACTTATTCCCGATGCGTTCAGTTTTATTTAGCTTGAAGAAATGAATCCCCATTCAAACTTTCACTCACAGCTATGGTTTAACGAAGATATGTATGTAGTACAACCCACAGTTCCTTGCATAGACACCTATTTGAAATGTAATGTAATGTAGCATATATTTACTTATTCCCATTAGCAGGAGCGATCTGTTAAATTGTCACATTAATAGTCGCCTAAGCCTGGGCAGGTAAGCGTAAATCTTAGCAACTTGCAACGTTCCGAGTCAAGTGTGCACGTCGCGGCCAAAGCCAGAGAAACTCTCACCTCTGCTCAGGTAATGTTGATATAGGAATCGCAGCATAACTCTGACCAGAAATGTTGGTCGGGTCTTAAAGTAGCTTAGGCAATTGGCCAATTGGTCAAAAGTTTTATTGTCTGACGGTAAAGGAACAAGTTCTTCCGGAATAACTTGTGACTAACATGTACATATTTACATAGAAATGCACATATGTAGGTATGTGCTAGTGCGGTATATGCGGACGAGGTTGGATTTTCTAAGTAGTGGAATCGCCCAAGAAGTTCACAATTATTAGCAGCGGTTGCATCGGCATAGTCATTGGGGGATGGAGGTGTAAACGCACCACAATCAACTGGGCTGTCGCTTTTATTGTTGCCCCACGACGCCATTTTGACGTGATATCTTAATTGATGACGGATTTCGAGCACGAAGCCCTAATCAACATAATTGGACTGGGGCAACACAAATTTGACGACAATGATAGGCACTGGAGTTTGAGCTCCCCGTGGGCTGCCACCTGAAACACCCGGAGTTCCAAGGCTTCTTTCTGTTCGTCGTACGTCTCCCCGCCGACAGCAAATGACAGCAACCGCCGCGCCGCTTCGAGGCATCACTGAGAGCGTGGGAAATCGCTTTTCGCCTCTCAGATAAAATAACATGAATAACAGTTTATTTTTTATTTGCGATGACGGCGACGGCTCCTTTGCTGAGATTCCCCATCATTGTTTGAGGCTCCCTACAATCGACTTGACTGCCCAAGGCAAGCTGCTCCCGTGGCCCAAGATTAGGTTTTGGTCGACCAAAGATAATATATTGCGTTTTGATACTTTGCCGCCTACAAGAAGGCCATCGCGAATGGGGGTTGGCAGTGGCAGTGTGGGAGGCAGCATAAATCACTTAAGCAAACGGTTGCTTTTCACCCAGACTAATGGTAATTGAACTGTCAATATTAATTGCTTATAAATAACTCAAAATCCTCGAAAGCTCTAGTTTAAATATAAGAATCCGATCATAGTATTTTTTTGCACATCAACATATCATTTATTGAGTTCAGTGAATCTGTCAATCAATCAGTTTACCATCAACGAAATCATCTTCATACAATAATTAATTGAAATTTAACTGACGATGTATAGTGTTTATTGAATCTTTGCTTAGATTATGATAATAATACTCGTGTCCTTCTCTGTCTATTTATTTTAGCTGCGAAAACCTGTTAGCGTCCATTCATTTCCTTCAAATCTTGTTTTTTACATCCTGGTATTTTATCTACCAATGCGCCGTCACTTTGGTCACGACAGGGTAGTCATTAAAGTAAATTGGTACACAATATATAAAGAAAAGAAGTTTCTATCAATTATAATTATTAGATAAATCTTAACTCTAACACCGAAACAGACTGAACAGAAAAACAGCAACTCATGGAGTGCTGAGGTATAATAATAAATACGTGTAAATGTATGTTACAGCCACAATAAATCCATTGCCTATTCCATAAATGTAGCCACGTTTTACGCTTAAGTCTCAAAGGGAAAGTATAGGAGTTAAATTTACCAGAATGTGTGTGCAGGCTCCTGTAACATCACACTTAATCAATAACCGCGCACCCTCAGACATATTCAGACACCACAAATCCAGAATCAACCAAGAATGAATTAATAACCAATTTATTCCAAAATTGGAAACTCTTTTTACAAATATATTGGTTGACATGGGAAAATAGTTCTGTGGGTGATTTCTTTTATCCCCAAAGTACATATTTATGCTTTATTTATCATATTTGCCGATGGTCCATTTAAATGTACTAACTGTAGTAAATATCCAATAGTTAATTCAAAATTTCATTTATTTTTTTGAGAGGCATCTCGACATCGTCTGCTTACAAGTGAAACCACCGCAACCGATCGTGATCCAGCTGGTCTGCTGTACTCTAAACATTTTTTATTCGTCTGGACATTTGCTTCCAATATGCGCCTCATTATAAAAAGTAGAGAGTTGTCACTTTGACACTTGAAAAGGGTAAAGGCATCCTGGCCAACGTAGCATTGAACGTGCTTAAAGTATTTGGCATGTCCATCTGAAACGATAGTTTTCGCAATACGCTTGCTCGAAAGTCGAACCTACAGAGCGGTACATCTTTGGACTTGTGTAAGCAAAAGAGACAGCAAAGGTCGCCGGGATACAGTCACGTATTTGTTGGCGTTTATTAGTACTACTACTATTTCCCATCCAAGACCCACAATTGAATTCATCACGAGGAAAATACCCAATCGATAATATTTTATAAAAAAGTTGAATCACACACTTCATAGCTTAGTTTGATTATGGATTCAAGTCACCTCTGGAGTACTTTTTACACTCTTTATAAATTACCAAATTAATTACAATCAAACTTGCGAGCCGACATAAAAAAATTTTTGTCATTATGCTGTAAATAATTTAATAAACCTTTAAATGCCCTAATGAATTTCAATAAGGCTAATTATTCCATGCGTTGCTGGGCCGGAGGTACGCAGAAACCCTTCTGAAAAGCTTCGAATTTTTGTCGCTTGAGCCACTTGATGGTGCAGCCATTGCACCTCAATCGATCTTCTATATATAAAATACGCAAACATTTTTTTGCACGCCTGTATTGCTTAAGCTATTGCTAGGCCAAGGCCAGCATATTGAAAGAAGGGCCTATAAATCTGAACAGAATCCAAAGGCAAGGCGTAACGAACAAGAGTGATTGCCAGCACAAATATACATACGTAATTATCGGGATGAAACTCGTGGGACCCAAGTGGTGAAAAACGGTTCATTTGGGTTTAAACAGGAAAAATAACCTTTGTTGAAAAATATGGGCTTGTTTGTTAGAGACTGGGGATTGAAAGGCCGAAATTTGCTGCACCTTTTCCTGTCACTCTTTGCCGTTTCACGACTGCGAAATCGCCGTATCCTTTGATGACTCGGACATTTAAAAGGGGAGTTGTGTGGCAGACCAGGACCAGACTCTTGAAACATATGCAAAAGCTCACGTGTGCACCCATTACCATGGTTGGACAACCTTCTGTGGCCCTCTTGGTCTCGTCTAGACGAACGAATCACGGGGGCAATTGTCCTTTCACACAAATGCGGACACGAAGATAGCTGCAGGTGCCGGCACGCAAACATACAGGTCGGTACTCTCCTAAGAGCGTTTGACAGGGCAGCCATGGAAAGCTGGTGCAGTTGCTCATTTCTTCAGTCACTGTCGAACGGAGTAGACCTGCCATTTGGCTGTTCAAGAAGAGTAATAATAGAAGTATATAATTTAAAGGTGGACATCAAAACGGTTAAATCATACCCCTTTAAAAAATTTCTGGCAGAACTATGTCGTCAACGTTCGTTTGGATTATCGGCGGGCTCTCTGTCGTTAATGCATTTGGGCTTCAATATGTCCACAAAAATACTGGTGAGATATACATGATTTACTCAAATCCATCGTTGAATAATTTTTGAATCTTCAAATCGTATCTCATATCAAAAGTTCATTAGTGTATAATAATGCAAAGTGTTTTAAGGGAAAAACAAGGACTCTTTAATGTATTTTTACCATTTACGAAATAATTTAACCCAATATTGAAGTGTAGAGTTTACATATGTAGAAGTACATATTAGCGCGAGTAAAGGTGAATAAAAGACTCGTTCAGATCTACATAACAGCCATTAGGAAACATTACCGACCTTTTGGCTACATATCTACATACATACATATGTATGTATGTATGTCGATATAGGCATGTCGGTTTAGCTCCTGTACTGAAAAAGTAAATATTTCTGGAACCTACAAGTTTATTTATTTAAATAACGAAGGCATTTAATATATCTTAATCCTGTTTAAAACATATTGTCTGGTTACGCAGCTCAATATTCGCCTTTAATCCGTAGATCATAGTTCCCACTGTACCATTTTGTCATCTGTTGTTCATTCATGGCAGCATCATATGCTGCCGCTCCCTCGCGGCTTCATCTCACGCCTTTATTCTTTCTTTTTCCAACGCTATCTCGTCCTTTCGCGCTCTAGCCGAAGTCTCGCTAAGGGAACGAGTGATTCGGCCCGCCTACTGAACGCTACTGAATAATCTCAGTAGCTCAACAACTATACCAACAACAACAAAGAAATACTTCTTTATGGTCGCTAAGTTACATTTTTTTTATATTGGGATATTAATTTAAATTAAAATTTAACAGGATCGAATAATCATAAGAATATTTTTCGGTAGAAAATATAAATTTAATAGCAGAAAAAAGTCATTTCTATTTCCGGTGTATTATTCCGGTGGGTACTCCATATAAAAGAATTTGCATTTCGACGACCACAATAGTTAATTTCTTCAGGT